CAAAGAAAACCTACAATATTTATTGGGCACAGGATGGAATATAGTTACAAAAGATAAGGAAAAGGCTGAGGTACTTACTACCTTCTTTGCCTCAGTTTTCAACAATAAGACAGGTCGTCGTCAGGACAACCAGACTTCTGCGCTGGTAAACAGGAATGGGGAGCTGAATAGCCCCTGTGTTATCCACAAGGAAACAGTTAGCGACCTTCTGAGCCACTTAGATGCTCACAGGTCTATGGGACCAGATGGAATCCATCTTAGGGTGATGAGGGAGCTGGTGGAAGAGCTCATCAAGCTGCTCTCCATCATTTATCGTCAGTCCTGGCTCACTGGGGAGGTCCCAGATGACTGGAAGTTGGGTAATGCGGGTAATAAGAAGGGCTTACAGGGGAATCCAGGAAACTACAGGCCTGCCAGTCTGACCTTGGTGCCTAGCAAGGTTATGGAACAGATCATCTTGAGTGGGATCACAGGGCAGCTACAGGATGGCCAGGGAATCAGACACAGCCTATTTAGGAGGGGCAGGTCCTGATTGACTAACCTGATCTCCTTTTGCGAGCAGGTGATTCACCTAGTGAATGAGGGGAAGACTGTGGATGTAGTCTGTCTGGACTTCAGCAAAACCTTTGACACTGTCTCCCATAGAATTTTCCTGAAAAAGCTGGCAACCCACAACTTGGACAGGGGCACTCTATGCTGGGTTAAGAACTGGCTGGATGATCAGGCCCAGAGAGTGGTGGTGAACAGGCCTGTTTAATATCAGTATTGATGATCTGGATGAGGGGATAGAGTCTACCATTAGCAAATTTGTAGATGACACCAAGTTTGGTGGGAGTGTTGATCTGCTGGAGGGTTGGAGGGCTCTGCAGAGGGACCTGGACAAACTGGAGAGTTGGGCTGAATCCAACAGTATGAGGTTCAACAAGACCAAATTCCATGTCCTGCCCTTTGGCCACAACAACCCCACATGTTGCTACAGGCTGGGCACAGAGTGGCTGGAGAGCAGCCAGGCAGAAAGGAAGCTGGGGGTGCTGACTGACAGGAAGCTGAACATGAGCCAGCAGTGTGCCCAGGTGGCCAAGAAGGCCAATGGCATCTTGGCCTGGATCAGGAATAGTGTGGCCAGCAGAACCAGAGAAGTGTTTCTTCCCTCATACTCAGCACTGGTGAGGCCACACCTGGAGTACTGTGTCCAGTTCTAGGCCCCTCAATTTAGGAAGGACATTGAGGTGCTGGAGTTGTGTCCAGAGAAGGGCAATGAGCTGGTGAAGGGTCTGGAGCACAAGTCCTATGGGGAGCAGCTGAGGGAGCTGAGGTTGTTTAGTCTGGAGAAGAGGAGGCTCAGGGGTGGCCTCATCACTGTCTACAACTACCTGAGAAGAGGTTGTAGCCAGGTGGGGGATCTATCTGTTCTCCCAGGCAACCAGCAGTAGGACAAAAGGGGAGTTAAGCTGAATCGAGGAGGTTTAGATTAGACATTAGGAAGTTCTTTACAGAATGAGTGATTGTGAATTTGAATGGGCTGCCCAGGGAGTTGGTGGAGTCACCATCCCTAGAAGTGTTTAAGAAAAGTGTTTAGGTGTTCACAGAAAGACTGGATGTGAGTGCCATGGTCTAGTTGACAAGGTGGTGTTAGGTTGTAGGTTGGACTCAATGATCTCAGAGGTCTTTTCTGTGGTTGATTCTGTGATAAACACTGTTTTTCTGGGTTTTTGTGTGTACATCTGTATGTAGACGAGATACAGACATAGCTATTTACAATAGTTTTTTTCATCTACATATAGATAAAAGTCTCAGAAGGGACAGCTATGAAACAAAATATACATGCGGACATAAAGGAGAACAAAATAAAATTAACAACCAAAACAAACCATAAATATTCCTGATGTCACAGTGTACAGTTATTGGCTGGGAAAGAATTATTTTTCTTCATATTAGCTTGTATGGGGCTAGCTTTTGGATTTGTGATGACAGCATGCTCTGCTGAGGGAAGCTGGAGGAAGGGAGGGATGTTTGGAGTGATGACGTTTGTCTTCTGAAGTTACCATTACGCATGATGAAGCCCTGCCTTCCTGGAGATGTCCAAAGACCTGCGTGCCTTTTAATTTTGTGTAAGAGATCAATACATATCAATATACATTACAATATTGAACACACAGCACTGTGAAATAAAGTAAAAATAAGAAAAAAAACAGGAAAGGAGAATAACAGTTGTAAGGTTCATTCCAATGACAATGAAAAATAGGAAGCCTCCAACAAAATTTTTAACACTGAAACAGAGTAAGAAATACTGATGGAGATCTACTATGACCTTAACAAGACTGTGAGATTACTAACAAACAAAGACTACAGTATATACTATTTAGTGTATTTTAGCATGGATACTTTCTGTTTTCTCTTTAGAAAAATAAAAACCTAAATCTGCTGTATTATTGATTCAGATTTGTGGGGGTTTTGATGTTGTTTATTTTTTTTTATTGGGATGGTGGTACAAATTAATCATCTAATATGATTATATGCTAAATGCCATAATTTGAAGTACTATAAATGCTCAAGTAAAAACTTTCTATGTTGAATAAAAATTGCATTAGAAACTCATGAAAATAAGAAAAAATAATATTGAGAGAAAAAAATCTGGTGATATTGTGGTTTTTTAAAAATAAATAACGTTAATATTTAATTTCTTTTTTTTTCCTCCAGAATGTATGGAGATGGTACACTCATATCAATTATCATAAAATCTTCAGTTTTATAAAGCTAGCTGTTTATAAATAAATTCATATACATTGTCATTCTTATCGTCTTGATTCAAACACTCAGAAAGACACTCAGATATCTGACATTTTCAAAAATATATCTTGAGCAGTTTTACTTATTGCTTTATAACAGGAGACTGTCATAGACCCTTACCTTCATTAATGTTATTTAACAGTTGTTACACTCTGGATTTAAGCTATAAGCTGCCCTGAGTGGTTACATTTTTATTTAAGACATTTTAAAAAACCTTTTGGTTCATTATAACCTCGCATTAGCATCCAGAGAAAGAGTCACACATTCTTCTCTCGGAGAAATTCTTTTAATTTAGTAAGAAAAATAAGATATTTTGGCAAAAGATTTTACAGGAGTAAAATACAACCAAGAAAAAACATTTCCCTAAAACACTCAGCACAAAAAACTGATTCCACAGGAAACACCCGCTACAACCATCAATATACCAGCTTTAGTAAAACACAATTCACCGGTGTTAAGTTACCCACAAGAGAAGGAAGAGGGTAAAAGAAGAGTGGACACTCCATCAATAAAATGGCTTTTCTTTATACATCTGCCTCATTAATTTTTAAATTTTCTGAAATGATCATGGTCTTGCTCTACTCAGTAATATTTATTCTGCTATAGAATGATTTCTATGAATTCCATATAAAAATATATTTTAAAAAATATGAGTGCAAAACCATGGGTTCTTACTCGGTATCATAGTAAATTTTAAAATCCAAGAACTTATACTAAAATGCTACATTCTTATTATCTGTACGTTGTAACACATAGTTATTCACTATGATTGTTGCTTCATTTTTCATTATATGTGTTATGAATTAACACAGAAAAAATAGAAATAACTGGATACCAAGGGAAATATAAAATCTACTAAAGAACTAACTTAAAAAAATGAATCTGTTGAATATTGAAAAGTTACAAGACCTAATTTAGAAAATGACAAAACCAGTATTAAAAGAGAATTGGTTTCCATCACTTCCATGTATTATTTCACTGCAAAGATTACAAATAAAAACATAAATGCTGTGCTAATGATTTTAAATAAAGCTAAAATCAAACAAGAAATCATGGGAATAACTTACACTAACCAAACAAGAAATTATAATAAATAACACCACGTCAATGCTCCAGTGCTGTAATGATTTTAAATTAGAAAAGCAACATTTACAGAACAGGTTACTCATTTAACATTTTTAGGATCTGTCAATAAAATCACTTTTGGCATGAAACAGCTATTTGTTTTGATTAAAGGAAAATCTCTCAATGAAAATGCTCAAACACCAGGAGGGGTTCTTGACTTGTTCAGTGCCTAGAGCATTCCTGCTTATCACAAGGGTTTGAGAAAGAAGCAACCAGTGCTTGAGGGTCTGAAAAAATGTCAGTGTGGTATGTAGATAGGCTGTTGAGATTACTGAAGAATGTTCTTTCAACGAAGGATGGAAAGCCAGAGATCTGATTAAGTCCTTGGCTGCAGTGTTTATGCTTACTTATAAAGTGCCATTTGATAGGCCCTAAGACTGCTCTCTGTTACTGAAATAATTTTTTATAGGGTCATTCACCTTGAGTAAAGCCGATATCACATAATGCTTAACACAGACTAGCTGGTTACCAGGATTTTGTATTATGGGTTTTGTGTTTGTTTTTTGGGGGAAGAATTTTTGTTTGCATAGTTAGGTTATTTGTGGGGTTTTCCTGTTAAAAATGTCATGTCTATGATAGACTCTGTGCACAAGTCAGTTTCTTCCACTCTGAGACATTTCCAGGCAAGAGAAATGTAATTCATATCAGCAATATAATGAATATAGCAATACAGCCCATCAGGTAATTCTCTACTTAGTAAAAATGTGTTACGTTTGCAATTCTCATTTACTTTGGCTGCTATAAAGCCTCTAACTAACCTTGCAAAGAGGTAAATTGTCATCTGGATGAAGAGCCTTTATCTTCAGGCACAATGTGGGCATAAAGTACTATGTTTAGTTACTTTTATTTTAGAGGTTAAAAAAACCTCAAGGAATTTACCATATAATCCTTAAAAAAAAAATTGTCATCAAGGCAGATATCATAGAACCATATTACTTAGTATCACATTAAAAGTAGAATATAATTGTAAAGGTCATAGGTCATGTGCTTTTTTTTTTTTTTTTTTCCCCCGGAAAATCACGAATAGACCAATACAAAGACCTTCTTTCTGAATAAAAGTGTTTATTCTGATTTGGATATTTTTTTATATTTTTCAGCCACAAGCCAAACACTTCAGTTTGGAAATGTGAAAATAAGCAAGTATTTATTTAATTCAGTATAATATGGATACTATATGTATCATTTAGCCAGCAGGTATAGCATAAAGAGAAAATAGCAATTAAAGACAACCAGATTATAGACCCAAGCCTGAGAAAGATGAGAGGTTTTATGGAAACCCAAGAGGGAAACAGGAATTCCTTGTCATTATGCCAGTATATGACCTAAAATTTCTTGTCCTTTTAGCAGATTTGAAATAGTTGAGTTGAAATTAACTATTTCTATTCATATTGTTTAAAAGATAGACTGATTAATAACTCTAACATAGGTTATAACTTCTATTTTAGACACTTGAATTCTATTTTGTTTCAACCATCTTCAGTTGATGTATGCATGTTGACTGCCCCATAAAAGGAACAAGCTGGTGTGCAGATCGAGTTGAATATTGTCTTTATTTGTACTGATATCTCAGTAGTTCATTTTTTGAATCGTGGGTACACAAGCTTCCAATAAGTGTTCATTTGCCATTGTATAGCAGTTATCCTTGATTACATGGAATTTGCTCCAGTCAGCAAGATCTTTTCAACAATTTGCAATAAAATGTTCAGAAAGTAATTCACTCACAAGAGTGAAGAAAAGTTGATCTGCATGCTGGAAGAAGATTATATCAGTATTATTTTCCTAAGATTAAGACACAAAACCAAGACATATACTATTAGAGAGACCATCCTTGGTTAGATCTTCAAGACATAGACCAGCATATGAGTTTACTCCACCATAGTGTAAATATCACCAAAAGGGCTTGGCAGCTCATGATAGTTACGATCTGACATACTGGATATGTTAGTTGCACTTTTATTTTCCTGTCACACTGAGGTACTTATGGATAAAAATGCAACTACATTGTATCTCCCATGGACTAGTGTGTTTTGCTTACACACATTTTTGCAGAAACTTTGTTTGTGTTTGTGAAAGAGTCTGTTGTGAGTGCATTTTATAATCAAGTTCTGGAAATAAAAACATCTGATTTATCTGACCCATCAAATAGGAGACAATTCAAATTGCAGCATTTGACAATAATTCAAAGTGTAAACAACATCAATATCAACAATGTGTTTAATAAATCTAAGGAAAATTTAAATAATCTCAAAATATAGTAACAACATGCATTTCAATGTTATAAACAATATATTTAAAGTATGTACGTAATGTGAATATAATGACAACATACAGTTCTGAATACTTTTTGCATTGTAAGCTTTTTTAAAAAAAATTGATTTGTTGTTCATGAATCACTCATGTCTGTACAATATTGCATAGTACGAAGTAACACTGTTGATACACCGGCTAAAGGTCCCACATGGCTAAAGGTCCCACATGTCAATATTCCTAACACTTGCATGCTAGGAGTTCCCATATAATTAATATGTTCCTTGTTTTCCTCAACAGAACCCTGTGCACTGTCTTATCATTATTTTTATACTCCCAAATAGCTTCATCTTTTGATCTTCTTCTGGTATTTCATTTTTCTAGTCTCTTACTTTGTTCAGAAATGCCTACACAGTAGAAACATACCCATTTTCATAAAATGAATTTGTATATAATATTTTTCCACTATGTAGACATCTGATTTGTCTAGCCCATCTGTTCTTTCTTATTTTCATTTCAATATTTGTCTTATTATTCCCACCCCACCTTCTTCCCTCACAGCTCACAATTTTTTGTAGTCCAAAATAGACCTTATTGCTGTTCCATCACTTATTGTCAAAGAGATTATGGAAATACATCTCTGGCCCTGTATGAAGCTTCACTTTCTTCAAAGCAGTATGACAGATGTGCTTATGGCTGGCAGCCATACCCTTAAGCCAAAGCAGTGATTGTTCCTGCCTGAACTGATTGGCCTTTTACCTGTATTGTGTTTTCACAGGTTTTTAAAAGGGAGTTGGAACCAGGTCTTAAGCAGGAGGGCAGATGAGCATCAGCAGCAGATGAAAATGATTCGTCTATGGATTTGGACCTATAAGAAGTCAAGAACTGGAATCAGGGCTAGAGAAGCTGATGATAAAGAAATATAGTAGAAGAAAAATATATTAATTTATCTTCAATTAAAAAAATGCATTCATTTTACGTCCACTTATCTACTTCTAATGCTGTATTTTTGTTCGGTTATTTTCCCTTCTAGACTGTTATATTTACATAGTTATATACCATATCATATATATAAATGCTCAGATACAAATATGTGGTCCCTTATGGAAATTAAGTTTATCAATATAGCAAATTTATATAATATATAAAATTGAAGTCAAAAAATTGATAGTTGTGACACAGCACAATTGCTTTCTCTAATTTGAGTGGCCTTGCTGTTTTTCCAGCTATCTTTGATTTTTGCAAAGATTCAGTAACCCAGTGGGCACCACTCTGTGGCTGTGTGCGTTTATATACTTTGGTCTTTCACCATTAGTAATTTCAGACACTTTCTGCTGGGAGCCACCACCAGCTGCTGCAGAGACTTTTACATATGGCATGAGAATATCTCACATGTATGTTATGGTCAGCTAAAATCTGTCTATCTTACTCTTATTTCCTACCCACCTTAGTCAATTGTGTCTTCCTCCTGTTTGTTAGTACATAGTCTGTTTTACATAGTTTGTCTGGCCTTCAGAGGAACTAGTACTGCACTGCATCTCCATTCTACACGTACTCTAACACTGAGGAGTGAAAAGCTCCACAGTGAGTGAATCTCCATATTTCTTACTGAAGTGTTGGTTTAATTTTAATATTTGTATAGCTCAGGTAGAAAGAAGCTCTGTTTAAACACACACTGCAGCTCCACTCACGATCTCTTGGTTTTCAAGTAAGTTTGTTTTTAATTTTTCTGTGTGAAAAAATTCTGACTATCTGAACCAAAGTAATATCAAAACTCCATAGTCTGCGTGTCAATACTATTGTTTTTCATTTTATTTCAGTTGTGCAGATAAGTTCAGAGTAGATTTATTTGTACAGGCAATAGAAGATAGAATTATCTTCCACATTAGATCTACATGTGAAAGCAAAATCCTGCACAAGGCAAAAGAAATCAAGCTTGTAGAAAGACAAGAAATAATATTCTTTTAAAAGAGACTGCCAGGGGACAAGGCTGTTTAAAATAGACAAGAAGACTGAGAGAGAGGAATTTTTTAAAATAAATAACAGATATGTAACTGAGCTCATAACTAAGAATCATTTTTTTTCTCTAAAATTTTAACTTGAACAACTTGCTCTAGATCACATACCTAATTTCTGGCATAGCTAAACCCAGATATTCTGAGAAATCTCAGTGGGCAAATTCTGTGATTTAAAAATATCCTTATTTATCTTCTGAAAATCCAACTACTAACGTACCACTTCTTATTGTCCTTCTGAAAATCCAGCTGAAGATCTTACTTGCTCTGTTTTGCATCTACATATTTCACAGATGACTGCAAAATCCTTTTCTTTAGCTGATGTAATGCACTGCATTTCTTTCTAGACAGTAGCCTCTACCAGTGAATATTATCAGTCTGAGTTCATTACCGTATTTTGCTCTGGTGGACTGACCTCTGTGAGCCCCTTTTCAGTGCATAAGCTTCTCTCCACATCCTTTTCCGTGTGTTAACTCTGTTATTCTGCGTTTGACACAACTGTGGAAATTTTAAGACATTTTTTTTTTTTTGTGGACATATTTAAAACTTCATCCTATTGAAAATCATCCACAAAGTAAATAAATCAAAGTGATATAAACACAAAAACCAGGAAACATTTTATACCTGACATCAGATCTGTGATATCCTCATCTTGCTTATTTAATGGAGGAGTAAGATATGATTTATATCTAGACACTGTTAATAACTGGAATCTAGAATTGTTTATACATTAAAAAACAAAACCAAAAACCACAAAATAAATTCTCCTTTACCCCTTTATGGTTGTTTGAGAAATAAGAGAAAGATAGAGGCAATTTGGTTTTCAAACTCTGCCTGTAAAGAAGATTTACTGTTTGGTTTCCTTTTTGTTGTGTTGTTTTTCTTATGTTCATTTATTTATTTATTTATTTTTGAGAGAAATTTAAAAAGCAAGTTAAAGGACCATACGTCATCCTGTCTTGCATGTAGGAGGAGATTCATATCACAAAACCCCCAGCTAAATAATCTCAACTAGTTTTCCATTCTTTCTGTATAATCACTGAAGAGAAAGGTAACTCAGGAGGGTAATTTTTCCTAAATGTTTTTTGTCCAGTGTTTATTTCAGCAAAAGCTGATAACAGCATAGATTTCCACTGAAAGTTATGATCCTGCACTTTTTGCATCCCATCTCTTCGCCAGCCTTTTTTCTCTCTCTCCTAGGTTTTGGATATAACCCTGACTGACTTGTGGAGTGAATTGAACAATATGGTGATCTAACTGCATACATGTATTTCTCCTTGCTATTTCTCCTAGCAATTGAAGATCCAAATGGGATTATTCATACCCTTCAGTTAATATGGACAGAAGTTCTGACAGGACTGCATCCTCTGAAATTGATTTGTTTGGAGTTTTTTTGAAAAAAAAAGGTATAAGTTCTAAGCTTCATATAGCTTCACCCAGCTGCAATGAGCAACTTGAAATATTGTGGCTTAACTAATTATTTGGATACAATCTTATGACCTTGTGCTTTCTTCTCTGTCTTTCAGCAATACACTAAATCTGCTCTTACATAGGAAGGTTAATATCAACTTGAACATTTTTTTCTCTGCTTTATTTTTCCTATAGCTTCTATAGAATATCACAGATGTCATGTTTTCTCAAACCAAAATCTACTTATAGATGATATAAAATAATTCAGTGATATGAGAAAATTGTTCAGATTTGGGAATTATGAAAAAAAATAGTGTTGGGGCACAGTTAATTTATATGACTTATATTCTAATAGGTCAATATTCAACTTTTTACTTAGGAAGCTTGAGTTTCATTCAAGTTGGAACTGGTTTGCAGCTCCATTTTTTTTATTCTGTAAAAGGAGCTATTGTATGCTCACTATTGTGAGAAAGTAAACTATGCAGATGCAAAGGCAATGGGATAGATTTGTGCCTATAAGAGCTTTTTCTACATGCATTGAATATTCTTCCATTGACTACAGTAAAAATGGGATTGCAGACTAAGCAATTAATATTCATGTCAATGTTTGGGACTTTTAAGACTACAGTAAATTAATGTTTTGTAACAGGCCTATGTAGCTGCAAAGGAAAGTATACCTTTAAAAAAACCTTTGAATAAGATAGTAATATTTTTTTTAAATTTCAGTTTTTCAGCAGAACTTCATTAAAATCTTGAGAATATGGTGTGTTTACATGGGTGGTAGCAAAACCTCCACCCAGACACTTGCTCTGTTGTGGGAACAAGCTGAGTCACCCTGCACCTGCATTCATTTAATTAGAATCCAAAAGGAGGGAAGACTTTGACTGGTGCTGTGAAAAAGAGAGTGCTGTGTTCTCAAAGCGGAACACCGCTTAACAGTCTGCATGGTCTGTATGGTTTCTCCGTGGCCGAAAACAGTCACAAAATGATAAGGTGTGAATGTGTGGGATCAAACCACCAGTTTAGCAAGATCCTCGGAATTCTGGTTAACTAAAGGACAACACCAGGTGCTGTTTTACAAAAGAAAATGAACAGAAGGGAAACGCAGAAAGAGATCTGTGGAGAAATCCCTAAACTGAATTCTGCGTGTGCAATCCCATTTCTTCATTGCCGAAACTCTGTCCTCGCAAAGGAATGCGGGAGAGAATCAAAAGAGCAAGAACAAGAAAACTTGTAGTTCAAGATAAAGATCAAGTGAAAGCATGGGAGACAGGAATAAGTTTAGTATGAACTGTTTAAGTTTGTCATTGATAAAACAGTTCTGGTCGATTTTGAAACCTATTAGACACATCAGTATGTATTTCATGTAAATTTCTTACAGCATTTCTTATATTTGATTTGTGAAGGCTGATTACGCATTGGGACAGTCTGCCCAGGGATATGGTGTGCTCACCATCCCTGAAGGGTTCCAAAAGCATGTGGAAGTGGCACCTGAGGACATGATTTAGTGGTGAATATGATGGGTTAACATACTGCTGAGTTAACACAGTGCTGGATTAGCAGTTGAACTCAATGATTTTGGAAGTCTTTTGCAATCTCAATGATTCTATAAGTAGTACAAATGGAATTGCTCACCACAACAAGATCAATGTCAAACCAGTCTCCAACCAAGAAATAATTTAGAAAAGCTCCCCTCTCAGTTTTATTACTGAGCATGACATATGGAATAGAATACCCCTTTGGTCAGTTGGCATCAGCTGTCACAGCTGGGTTCATCCACATTCCCTTGGCTCATCCCTAGCCTACTCTCTGAGGCACCAGAGCGAAAAAACAAAAGCCTTGAAGTTGTGCAAGTGTTGTTTGTCAGTAGCTAAAACATTAATTTTATGTTAGCTGAATCCCATTTTAAGGATATGCATAAGGCTTTGTGCAATATGCTTCAAAAGCAGCAAAAGGGCAAGTCAGGGAAAAGTTTACTGTTGCTTGCAGCTGGGCCTTGAATGGGAAAATCTTGTTCTTGTGCATTTCAGCCCCTGGCTGAGCCAGAAGCACTCCATCCCATCACTGTGAAGAAGATCATTTAGAGCTGTCACCACAAATAACTTCAGTTTCACAAGCATTGATGATGATCTCCTCTCCTACACATTTTGTCACTTTGAAGTGCTTTCAATATCCCTGGTTACAGATGAAATGATTTAAAAAAAAAAAAAAGTGCCTCTTGTGGAAACACAGGTTTTCAAACTTTTGCTTTGACAACTGGATGTTACATTAGAAATGAGATGACCGATGCTTCTAGTCCCTGTGAATAGGCAACAGCATTTTGCTTCTTCTCAGAAGTCATACATATTCTGATAACTGAAGCAATTTACTCATCTCAGAGGGTACTTGAACACCCAGCAGTAAACAAAGAACAATACTTATTACAATTGTGATTTCCCATTGTTTTGACTGAGAAAGTGTAATTAAAAAAAGGAAACTAGTTTGGTCTATTAAATTAATAATTATTTGCTATGAGTTTCTATATAGACTTCATAAGCTTGTCTGCTAGGGTAATTACTCCTCTTATCTGTCTTTACACAGGTAAATCCTGAAACTGGATGGCGTGCATCAAAATGATCTGCACTGGTGAGGAAAATGAGCAGATTACACAGGTGGAGGGCAAGTATAATGGATTCAGAAAAATAGACTAAAAAAGAAACTTAACTTGTTACATTTTATATATAATAAATAACACACTCCCTTCTTCAGATCCATGTGTTCTGCAACACTAGTGTGTGAGACTCATTAGATTGTTAGATTTCTTAAGGACTGCTTTGTGTTATGACAATAGGAAGTCGTAACAACTTGGAATTCAGAAGTGAGACTTCAGCATGGTAAGAGGCTAAGCCATCTTTCTGTTTGCTCTTTTGTTTTGGACTTACCTTGCACCAAACATAAGCCTGATCAGAAAAATCTCTGTGCGCTCAGAATTGGATTAAAGATTTATCTCTTGACTTTTTTTTTCTGTCAGGAGGAGTTCAGTATGGGCGGGCAGGGATTCAAGAACAAAAATAATAAGGAGAAGAAGCAGGCAGTGACAGGAGAGAGAAAGAGATGAAAAGATAATTTTAACAAACATTTCAATTTAATTTATAAGGAAAAGTGATGGATGTATTATTCTTTGTGTAGCAGCACAGGTAATTTTATCTATGTGGGATATCACAATGGTGGGTATGTCTTTTACTGTTACATGGGTCTCATCAAAATGCTTATGCTATTTTTTGGGGTAAAAGTTTATATTTCTTTCACATCAAAGTGAAGAGATTCCCTTTGTATTTTCCTTTTATTTTTATCCCAGAATGAGACTGCATTAAACTATCTAATTCCTTTTGATTTCCTGAAGTGTATTTTGAACTTCTGCTTCAAATTGCATTCCAGTTCCACAAAATGATTGTCAGTTAAATTTGAATTTTCTTTCTTCAACATTGCTACGAAACTTGCAAGATTACTGGAGATTTGACCCAGGGAAAAAATGCACTTCCACTATGTAATTTGGATAATTTCAGAGACACATCTCAGCAAATCCAATAGCTCAAGTGGGACCAGACTTTGATACACATACTCATTTTGCAGTTCCACTTAATTTTACAAGGAGTCCAGTAGAAATTAATGGACATGATTTTGTTATAATTTTCTTTATGTGCTAAATTATTTTGCCACTTCTGCATGCCTGGCTCCCAGAATAAGGTAGCTCAGTGTTTCGTGGTAACCTGCTTGAGTGAAAATTAAATACGTAATTTTTCTGTCCTGCTCTTCCTTGATATAGAAAACAACTAGTTACTGTCCTCTCGTTACTTATCCTTTATGCATATGAAAACTGGTATTATGGTCTAATCCAGCCTTCAGTTTTCAAGATCAAACAGTTTGAGTTTCTTTAATCTTTTTTTATAAGCAGATAACATTTGCTTGCTTTTAACAACAACATCTAAGTATCTTATGAGTTTTTGAAGTTTCTCTAATTGTTTCAAGTTTTTATTTAAAAAGATTTGAAAACAAGACGAACTTAGACTATTAAAAGGTTTACCTTCCACATATCTTAGAGGTACAATTCAGAGTACCTGTTTTTTTATCATATAAGAAAGGAAAATAGTTTTTGAGGGCAAGGGATACCTTTTAAGAAAGTCTTACAAAGATTACAGAAAACTTGCAGATTGTATTTGTTAAGGAAAGAGGAAGTATTCACATTACTTTTTTAACAGCCATTTTCTTAATACACTGCAAAATGAGATTTGCTTTTTTGATTAACCTCATGTTTTTATTCAGCTTGATCCATTCATATCTCCATTTTAGATTTACACGTTTGATTTCTTTTTAATGTGGTATTACTCCTACTTTTATATTGAATTTACTCTTATCAGTTTCCGCCCATTCCTCCAACAGATCATGATAATTCTAAATTCTAATTTCATTCTTCATATATTTTATAATCCTGCCAGGGCTGGGGTTTTCAGTTTCACCATACAAGACATTAATGTAAATAATAAATAGTATTTTTTTCTAAGACAGGTTCATTGGATATGCAGTGTAGTGTCATGAACATACTGCTATTATCCTTGGATAAATTATGTTCAAAATCAGAACAGGTGTATCTGTAAAGCAAATAATTACAGTGGAGAGGCTGCATTCCTGAGAATGTCTTTGAATAGTATTGCATTAACTTAGTTCTCTGTAACTTCTCTGTAACAAAGAACTGCATTGTGGAGTATGCTCTGGGAGACCTCACTTGGAATAGTTTTCCGGTTAAAAATATAGCTAGTCATTAAGGGGCTTTTTTTAATATTTCTTTATGCATTTATTCATTTGTTTTCAACATGTTATGATCCGGTTACTAAAATTATTAGAGAGATGCCTCTGCCCAAATTAAGGTGCAAATGAGACCATATGCTGAAGTCAATAATACAGATTTTTATTTAACAGTAAATGTGAGATAGAGAGAGAGAAAGAAATAGGAAAAAGAGAGAGGAAGGGGGAGAAAAAGAGAATGGCAGAGAGACAGACTGTCATGGTTTAGCTGATTCTTGGAAACTAGGCAGGAATTTTTCTTCTCCCCCTGCCCACTTCGTGCACTTAAGAAATACAAAAGAACTGCCCCGGCTGGCTAATTGCTCAGCAATTAGTCTCCTAAGAAATGGGGAAAATGAGGGGCTGCACTTCACTTTTTTCTCTAGTCTCCTGGAAAATGGGGGAGAAGGAGTTTGTGGGCTGGCTGTGGCTGAAACACAGGTCAGAGTGGAAGCTGGGGATTTTTCTGTTGTTCGGGACCTGTTTTGACAGTTGCAGGCCCTGACTGGATTCTTCATCCGAGAGGAACTGGTATGTTTTGTTTGTTTGTTTGTTTGTTTGTTTGTTTTTCCCATTGTTTTTTGTTTTTTTTCCCCGGGAGGTTTTTTTTTCCTTTCACCGTTCCCATTTGTTTTCTTTCCCTGATGGTAGTCCATGTGCACATCAAGAGGAGAGAGAGGAGGACTGTGTTGCACAATTTTGACCAACTGAACAGCATGAGTCTCGGTTTTTTCCATTGGGAGGACTTTTTGTTGTTGTTTCCCTTCCTGCTCTCCCTCTCCCTTTTCCCAGTGTGTGGGAAGGGAGTCCAGTTTTTCTGGTTTCTCCGACATACCCTGGAGGGTGTTGCTCCCCCCCACCCCCCCCCCGTGGCGGTGACTAGTGATTCCAACAGCTCCACCTGGTGACTGGCACAGGACATTACAAGTTCTGCATCTCCAGTGATCCAACGGCACCTCCTGTTGACTGTGGTTGGAATTGCACCAAAGGGCACCAAATGAACTGTTTACTTTTTTTCCTTTACTCGTTCATTGGTTTGTTTTGAAGGGGATTCTTTGTGGGTATAGGAGTATTGTTTGGCTGTTTTACTGGTTTTTTTTCATGTTTCTGCCAATACACAAATACCTTTTAATAAAGGGGGGGTTATTTTTCCTTTTCCATAATTTGTTTTTCTTCAATTGGAGCCTCTTAATTTTGGATTTATAATTGCTTGGAGGGATGAGTTTGGATCTTTTCTCATAACTCATCCGCAACAAAAGACCTGTGTCTCATTTAAACTGGGACACAGACTAAGTAGAAAAAACTCTGTAGACTCCAGTGACATCCTATTGAACTTCTTCTTGTGGTCTTCTCGGTGGTGAGAGTTCCAGTCTTGTTGAAGTTATGATTGCGGTATGAGTCCAGGGTGGTGAGAGAAAAAGCCTGTGTTGTGAGGGAAGTTCATGGGGGTCAGCATTCTGTTCTTTCGCACTTGTGGGATAATTAGACAATAGTAGACAATAGTAGAACCTTTATCTTATCTCAAGTTCCCCTAACAGTCCAAATCAGTAAGTATATTTGGGAAGGGAATGGGGGTGTGCTTCACTGAGCAGTTGTCTCTTTGCACAGTTTTCTACAGTGGAGAAAAGGTCTTTCAGTAATTTTTACAATGTTTAAGCCATTAACCATTTCAGTTTCTCACACCATGCATTCTCTTTACAGTCGTGACATGTAGAACACATTTCTCTGGTTTGCTTATAAGATTGTGTCAACAACTTTTACCAGATTAAGATTCCTGTAGATTTCTGTCAATTATCTCCCATCCTTCTCACTTATCAAAAAACAGAATTGAGATAGTTCTACATAGTTTGCTGTTGACAAATCTGTAATTTCTGATTTTTATTTCCCTATTGTATTTGTTGTACTTACATACTGTTTGTTTAATAGTTAGCTAGCAATGTCTTTCTGTGTGTTATTTTTTTGAGCATTAGCCCAGATTTTCACAGCTTCCTCTTTTCTCTTTTTCTGAAAGCTGATTTAACTGGTTTAATTTTAGTTGTGTTCAACCTTTTTCATGAAGTCTCAGAGGAAAAAAATGTGGGGCAGGAACATTTCAGCCTCGTATGTATTATATGTTATATCTGCTCTAAGTCAATCAGCCCCCAGTGGTCTAGGGGAAAGGCACTGCACTGTCACCGCAGAGACCTGGGTTCGATTCCCGGTCGGGGCCCCTCCCCGGGCAGGTGGAGCTCATTATCCCTGTAAGGCAATCCATCTACGTCCTGAGGACCTCGCTGCCACTGTCCAAGCGTGCTTGGCCCTGGCAGATGAACCTCAGGATTAAAGGGTGGGCTCAGTTCTGCGCACACTGTGTCTCACCTAAAAAAAAAAAATCCAATGCGCAGGCTGGAAGGTGTAAAGACCTTCCCCGGTTCTTCGTTCGCGAAGACTGGCCATTACTTACTTACTAAGTCAATCAGCATTAAGTTTAGGATGATACCTATTCACTATGCCTCATACCACTCTGTGAGACACTAGCTCATTACAGATCAAGTAAGGAAATAGCTAGGTTCCCCTAAAGTTGGAAAAAAATTGCTCAAGTTCAATGGGAATCTTTAGAGTGACTTCAGAAGAGTTTGGAACAGGAGTTAAGAACATGGTGCTGGACCAACCTTTGAGTACAAAATTTATATCAAAATTTCATCTTCCAACAAACTTCCAACCTTAGAAGTACCAGTTATTGCTGATTTCAAATGTTTGCATGACTGAGTTTCCTGAACCTCCCAATGAAGCTTGCTTTCCCACCTCCTCTCCTCTGTACACACATCTTCATCCAACCTGAAATAAGGAACCATAGAAAACAACAATGGGAATAGCATAACTTGCAGTTTTTAGACTGCACCAGATCATCAGGCTGCTTCTGAATGAAGACCAGACAAGGAAGACAGTAGCTTCACGATGGCAACATGATAACAGCTATTCCAGTTCCGATAAATAAATAGGGATAATGCTATTTCTGCTAAGTGTTTCATCCTATTCACATCAGCAGTGGTCTCAAAGGTGCAGCAAAAGCATGACTCTGAGTTGGGTTGTGGGAGGATGGATAAGTGGATGTTAAGGTAAGGAATATTGATCAGACTGGTTTTACCATCTTTTCCAAAGACTAAACAGAATCATCCTGAGAGCAGGAGTCAGAGCCAGACTGGGTATTCAATCAGTCCACACTGATCCATAGTATGGTTACTATGGCCTACTGATGGCTAATGGGGTTTTGTATCTTCTTTGAAAAAGGAGAAAAAAAAAAAGAATTTATACTAGATAGGTAGTATTGATCTAAAGAACGACTGCAAATGGATGAAGTAGGAAAGAAAACTCTTCTGTCTCTATGGGAAAAAATATTCTGTAATTTTGAAAGAAATTAGATGCAGAAATCCAGGAACACAGGGCTTTACGTGTGAAATCAGAA